ACTAAGGAGTGTGCCATAGGAGGAAGGAAGGGCCCTCATGGCCTGATTAAGTTAAAGAAAGCTTCTCCTAGGAGGTGACTCTTGAGAGATGAGAAAGAGGGCGGCGGTAGGAGGATATAGCTCAAGTGGTAGAGCACATACTTAACAAGCACAAGATCCTGGATCCAATCCCCAGTACCTCCTCTAAAAATAAGTAAACAAGTAAAACTAATTACCTCTCCTCCCAAAAGAAAACTTGAAAAACAAAAAAAGAAAGAGGGCAGCAGTTACGTATACGTCAGTGGTATAGTGTATGTTTAGCATGCATGAAGTCCTGGGTTCAATCTCTGGTACTTCCATTAAAAAAAAAAAGTAAAGGAAAAGGACAAAATGGCATTCTACAAGCTAGACTTCTTTAATTTATGATGGGAGAGGCACAAGCAAATGCTATGCCTTTCAGGAGAACGGGGTGTAGATTAGAATAGCTGGAAGGCAGGGTGCTTCATTAGGTGTAACAAAAGATGACACAAGAGGAGTGAATCTGGGTCATGCTAAAGCTAAGGGGGACTGGGATTAGGGAAGCAGGTGCCTAGAGCACATAGTTTGAAAAGATAGTCTCTGGTTCAGATAAGAAAGATCCTTAGGTATTAAACCCAATAAGCCCATTTGGGGGGATTTTTTTTTTTAATTAGGAACTCTGCTCGTAGAACTATAAGATGGCAAATTTAAGACGTGAGTGGTAAAGAGATCATGAGGGAGTCCTAGGAATGTTTGAGTCCCTTATTCTAGCTATCCTTCCCTGGATTCCATGAGCCAGTAAATCCCATTTTGCCTAAGAGCATCCCAACTGGTATGCCCTAGCTCACAGATTTGCTTCAGGTGGCTGACAGGTATGCCCGGATAATGATCCCTGCTGGAAACTTCTACAAGCATGTGGGTCTGCTGATCTCAGTGTATTATTATTTTCTGAATGATCTGATCTGATAGCTTGAAAAAAGTTTGAGAAGCATCAGCCTAAAACAGAGCTATAACTCTCAACTGGGGGAGATTTTTCCCTCCCCGGGGACATTTGTTAACATACAGAGTCACTTTTGTTTGCTGCCACTAGGAGGAGGTGTACTGGCATCTAGTGGATAAAGGCCGTGAATGCTGCTAAACATCCCACAATGCGCAGGAACCATACCCTGTAACAAAGAATTCTCCAGTCCAAGATGTCAATAGTGTCCTTCTTAGAAATTCTGAGCTAGAGTAACCCAAACCCTTACTAAGATTGAACAGATGATAACTGAGATTCTTGGTGGAGGCCCCAAAAGTCAGTGCCAAATAACTCCATATCCAAATCAAGGTACCACTGTGGAGGGTGGGAAGGTAGGTACTTCCACCTCATCTCAAGCCAAGTCTGCAGGCTTCGAGAAGACCATTTGGAAAAGATGATATATAATCTCTGGCATCTTCGAGAGACAAGAATTGATAACTGAGTCACATGTAAAAGTCCTAAGTTAAGAGGCAGAACCTGCCTCCAAGCAGAAGATGCACACGGCTGATTGGGAACAGCCCACACTACTGTGCAGGATAAAAAGTGCTTTATGTGGATCAAGTGAGGACCTCATGTAGGAGAGCTGGACTGGGTCAGCCTGAGAGAGGCTGCCCCATAGGACTGCCTGCATGGGTGAAATGATCCCAACCAAGGCATGGATCCCTGGAAACCAGAGGACCAAGGTGTATGTCATAAGATAAACCAGAAGATTCATTGCTAAGCTAAGAGACTGGAAATAAGGTTACCCTAGTCATACGTCTACAAAGGCACTCCACGAGAGACAGTGTCACCTTTAGACCTCAGCTACACCCAGAGGACACTGGCACCAGGCTAAAACTATTCTAGTCAAAAAGGAGCTCTTCTAACTGTAATTGTCTTCTCCAACCCTGGAGGGGCCCCAAATGAAAAGCCAGCCAGGGAGAAGGTAGACAAAGCCAGGGGTTGAGTGGAAAGGGAATGGCAGAGAATTTGTGAACTGTATGAATCTGGGGTTTTGACATTGCACTACACAGGATTTTTTAATGCCAGGTAAAAAAGATCATTTACTTGTTATTAGAAAATGACTGGAGAACTTTTTAGTTACTTGAGGGAACTAGAAAAGCTAAAGGCTTTGGCTAAGATTTTGTCCAAGGTATTTGTCCAAGGTATAGAGAGGGATCCTCAGATATTCAGGGACAATAATGAGAGAGAATAAAATAGGTTTCTGCTTTCCCCATACCAAGTCCTGCTTGCTCACCAAATTAGGAACCACAGTTTAATTTATAACTAAAAACATATTATAAAGCCTCAGTTTAAATCAGGGTTTCTCATCAGGGGCACTAATGATGTTTTGGACTCTTCTGTCATATTAATGCACAGAAATGTGGCTCTTTCTTCCTCCAGTCCTCCTCAGGGATATTGCCAAACATCCACCAGGGGGCTAATATTCACTGCCCCCATTTAAGAACCAACAAATACTTGAATCCTTCAATGCTTATGAAAACACTGAGGTGAATAGTGGTACTTTAAACAAGGAATATCCAGGTAGGGATTAGGTGAATAAGGGATAGGAGTTGGGAGAATCTGGCCAAAGAGTATCTGACAAAGGGAACAGCGTTTGCAAAGGCTAACTCAGTTTCAAGCATGTGAGCATCGAAATGTATGTTCTGTGCTTTGTTATTTTTGCCCTACTCAGTTGCAAAAATGAGAAGGTATTTGTTTTGATATTCATTCTCTCCCCTCCCCTCCCCCATTTGGAAAGCCTTCACTACCTGGCCTGATGCACAACTCCAGGGCCTACAGTTCACATCGTATTTGACACAAATGGCATCTCTAGAGTCCCGTAACAGAATCAGTGTGATTCAGCTGGGTGTCCACACTATGGAATGTATAATCTCTCCTCTCTGAAAGGAGAGTCGATAGATTGATTTCTCAATGATAGCATCTTTCCTTACAGCCTGTTGTTGAGATACTGTATGAAGAAAAGCTTGAAGGGATAAGAATTCTAGATGAAGGGATAAAAGGATAATTGTAACTACCCATGGATTGGTAGTTACAGGGAGGGTGGGACTCCATGAAAGTTAAAAGTGGGAGAAAGAGTGCACTGTCAGAGTATATTTGCTTCACTTATAAGGACTGATCGACAGCAAAGACTTGACCTGGTGCCCACGAGAGGCACTTGCCTGCTGTCATCTAGGCAATGAGCCACACCTGCCTTGAACAGTCACATCATTTGTCTTTCCTGTGCCCTAGGACCCCAGAAGGACAGGTAAGCCAAAGAGGATCTTGGTTACCAAGCAGGTTGGTAGGATTGAGCCACATTTGCTCAAACTCTGCAATAACAGAACATATCTCATACATTTTCAATGCAGGAGTTTCTGGAGTAATGACTATTGCCTTTTGTCTATTTAGATGTCTAATCGATTCATGGAAATACATATATACACATATTTATATATGAGCTCTTTATTAGTTATGCATATTCCAAATATATTCTCACATTTGCTGGCTTGATTTTTCATCTCTTAATGTCATCTTTTGATGCAGAGATGAGTTTTTATAGGTGACACAATTTTTGCAGCAATATTGCTTAATAATGGAAACAGTTTCAAACCTCCTTTTTCAAAAAGCTCTCTTCATTACACAAGTTTCTTTCAAAAAGCAGTTCTCACTGGTTTTTGAAACATCACTTTTACTTTGAGGCCATAGGTTATATGTATATACTAAAAAAATTTTTTTATAGTTAGCATATTGCTGATAGCCACTTGCTGTCACAATCAAGGTCAGAAAATTTAGAACACTTGTCCTTTTCAAATAAACCTATAAAACTCTCCTTCAAGTCAGATGGTACTTTGCTACAAGACATTAGGGAACAAATGATTTTCATGATCATTCTCTTATCTCTGTAAGAGGAGTATAAATATTTTAAAACATTTAGACATTTGATTCTTTAAAAATAAAAACTAACCACATTGTTGACATCCTGTAGCATGTAAACTGCAATGTTTTGAAATATGCTGATGCTCGGTAAATCCAGGATAGGTGACCATTTGTGGTGCAAACTGAGGCCTTGGTGTCAATGTCAATTCTTACATAGGATGTTGGCAGAGGTTCATTTCTTCCATTTTTACTATACCAAAAGAACAAGAAGCTGTCATATTTTCTATTTGTTTGTGATCAGGATTGAGCACCTTACATAACACTGTGTACATGCTCCCATTTGGGAGACCAAAAAGTTAGAAGTAAACAGACATGCTGAAACTGGCAATTTTAACAATTAATTTATATTAATTTAACTTCTTATTGTTTGCACATCAATAAACTGAACTGATTTTTAACAGATCCCTAAATTAGAAGGCAGATCTCTTCCAATACTCTAGTCACTAAGTAGATACTAAGGTTTTAATAAATATTTGATTTGATCTCAATTTTGTCTTGAGGGAAAATGGGAGATTTTTATTTTTACTCTGCAGATGTGGTAAAGGAAACACATTGACTTTCACAGAATCTAGGTCCTAAGATGTTGGGAGAAGAAAGAGGAAAGGAAGGAAAAAGTGTTGAATTGAGATTAATAGTCTAATATTTCTTTGCACAAGGTCAGAAACCTGAGGCCCTTCAGTGGGGAGCCTCAAGGTAATTCTGTAATGCATCGAGACAAGAGCTGCTAATGGTCGTAGAATGACTGTGAAAGAAGGGGAGAATAGGTGTAAAAACGAAAAGTGCCCCAAATCTAAAACTGCTCCGCCTCTAAACGGTCCCGGTCCCCGTACCACTAGCTACTTTGGAAGTCCCAGCGGTGAGAGCAGGCCTGGGTCTCCGCACCTGGACCCGGCCGCCGCGGCCACGCCCCAGGGGCGGGGCGGTCTCTCCCAACAGCCCCGCCCCTCCCCGCCCTCCCACGACGCCCGAGACGCCCGCGGCAGCCGCGGAAACACCGGAAGGAGCGGCGGCGGCTGCGGGAAGTGGCCGGCTCGGGAGGCGGGGACCCCGCGGGCTGAGCTGCGGTGCCGTTTTCCGGCGCTCCAGACGCGACGCCGCCCCTCTCCTGGGTCAGGAGAGGAAAAGAGGAGCTTGTGGCGGTGCGGCCGCAGGCCATCGTTGGCCGCGCTGGCGGGGCCCGTGGGGAAGGCCGTGGAGGTGAGTGCGACGCTGCTGGGAGGGGCGCGGGGCCGAAGGGCGCCTTGCCTGCGGCGGGGGCGGGTCTCCGCTCTCGCTCTCGCTCTTGTCCCGCACGCCGGGGCTCTGACTGCTGTAGCGGCCTCTTTTTTTGGGGGGGGGGGTGAGTGCGCGGGCGGATAGAAGGCCTAGGCTGTTCCAGTACTCAGCGCTGCGGGGATGAACTGGTGGCCGCTCCGGTAGGGGTCGGCGGAGGACGCAAGTCAGTCGCGGATTTGAGGAAGGGGACCCAGGGGGTGCTCCCCTGGGAAGCGGGAGGTAGGAGGGGGTGAGGCGAGTCCCTGAAAGGGGCTCCGCTCCTTTCCTTGGTCTCCCCATTCCGGCTTGCCATACCCCCACGGTTGGCGCAGACGACTGAAAACCCCGCAGCGCGGTGGCTCCCGGGTTGTGTTTTCGCTTTGCGGCGCAGTTAGGGGATCGAACTCATTCTTGCATTCTCAGGCGCCCCGTTATTCATTGTTGTCAGCGGGGAAACCTAGGTGTCATCGTCGCTAGAATTGTCTTCTGACGAATATTTGATCCTGACTGTTTCTGAGGTTACCCCTTACGGTCTGTCCATCTGCAGCTTTTGTTTGAATCCATTTCCATGGTGTGTGGTTTCCCAGACCTTTCTTCTTACATATTTACCTACTCCTAAACGCCCTTCATTTGAATATTTACAGTGTGCAAGTTGAGCTGTTGGTTGGCTCTAGATGTTTTGCACTCAAGTATTTTTAGGGTTTACCTTCTCATATAATCAGTATTAGACCGGGAAAACTGGGCTAGAGGGGAATGTACTAGCAGGAGCATAGCCTCTAAAGTGACGCCAAATTTTTACCACAAGCATCTCTAGACTTACTACTTAACAGATGTATAGAATTTTTTTAGTTTAATCAGATTGCATTTCCTTTAAGGAAAACCTGTTCCAAAAATTAATGAGGCTGTCCTAGTTCCGTTTCTGGTTTGGGCAACTGATCATCTGGAAAGGTCTGACCAAATCAGATAATAGGCTATTTGATTTGAACGTCATACAAATATTGTTTGTCTTCATGCTATTAATATAAACATGTGGAAAATTAGGAATCTTATTGAAAGACAATGCTGATTTTAAGAAAAAGTGATAATAATAGTCACACTATGCCGAGAAGCTTTATGCTATTTAATTTACTTTGACAGAATTAAAAAAAAGGACCGTACAAAAATATTCCTAGCATAAAATATTTGACCTCCTGCTGTATGCAAGAGGGAGGATCTGCTTAAGATTGCTTCTTATTTTTGGTCTGGTTTATTGCCAGCTTTTACTTTTTTGTTTTTTGTGAGCTCTTTATAAACTGCCAATAAGTGAATGGCAACAGTGAAGTTTAATGGCATTCGAGTGTAGTAAATAGATGATTTTAATCATTTGAAATTCAGAATTAAGGCGATAATTCTTACATTTATGTATTGCTGTTAGAATTTTCAACGACCTTTCACATATACAATCTTATTTGATCTTCATGCCAATCCTCTGAGTTAGGAAAGCCAAGAAATAGTCTTTTCCCATGACAGAAGCATTGCGAGATTGTGTAAGGATCAGAATTTCCCTGAAGCCTGAAATAATCTTACTGAAGTAACCTTTGATATAAATTGGAATTCAGCTAGATATTGGAGCACTGTGAACTATTACGTGTGATAGGCTGTGGACCCTTTGCAGGAGAATGAAGTACATAAATGGCAAGAGATTTTTGGTGAGAAATGTGAAATGTCATTTCTGAAAAACAAAGGAATAAGTAACAGCTTTTTTTAGTGTGGTTTTTTAAACTTTAAAAGGTAAAGTCTACATGTGATTTCAGGAGCATTTTGATAAGTAGCACAGTTCCAAAGAGTCTGATAAGTACAGTTGGTTTGTCTATAAAAAGGAGCATGCATTTTGTGCAATATAGTATATATTGTATATTGTGTATATACTATATTGTATATATATATCAAGAGAACTAATATATAAGAAAATTCATATAGCAAAATAAATATTCCTCTCAAAAGTTACTTTAGAAGGCTAAGTAGGTCAGTATCTGTGAGTCTACCAGAGAAAGCCCTTTGGAAAATAAAAGAATGGAACATGGCTTTTGCCCTCTAACAACTTGGAGTCAGGCTTGTGGTCAGGTAGGGTAGTTTTTTTTACACAACTGCAATAAAATGTCTTATGAATATTATAATCGGGAATTTAGGTGAGGGAAGCATTACTGGTGACTGGGTCCTGGCAGAGATGGTATTTGAGATGAGGGAACTTTGCAAGGTTTTCAACAGGGGAATATTGGAGGACATTTCTAAAATGAACAGATGATTGTGTTCTTGGAAAGCTACAAGTTACATTTGAGAAAAGATCAGTAGAACAATTTGGTGATAATAAGTTATGGTTCATATGTTAGTTAATGGGAGATGGAAAAAAGAAATTATGAAAGACTTCATTGAAAATGTTTCACCGGAAGTGATCCACATGAATGCAGAATGAGCTGTAACTGGCAAAGATTGAGACCAAGAGAACAGTTGGGCAGCTTTAGGTTAAGCTAGGTCTTGATAGAGTCACTTTTGTGGCCCTTGTAGTTTCTCTGAAGTGCTGTCTTGAAAGCAGACCTTGAGATAACGTGGCTGCAGGTGAGATGCCAGGAAGCACAAGTGAGAGAGTGGGCAAAGAGTCAAGGAAAGGAAAAAAGGCCAATGGATGGGCACCTAGGAGCTTAATCCTGTGGAGATTTTTGTAGAACTGTCTCCAAATTGCCCTAGCAAATGAAGGGAAGCTGAGGGGTTTTTCCACCTAACCCCAGTCCTCACTGATTGAGATTGTCCTTGAAACGCCTTGGGCACTTCCTCTTCCTGTAGCTAGGGTTGGGCAAGCTCCTGATAGGGTGGAGAATTTGAGAAGCAGAGACTTGGTTGAGGTGGAAAGGTGTCAGGATACTACCTGTACCACCTGCAGGGTGAGCTGAAGAGGTGGGGGCGCCAGATGTCAACTGTGTCAGTTAATAGGCATTCTCATTAAATAATCCAGAGGTGAAATAAAAGCCTCAGTTTAGGTGGAGACCTAGAAGAAAAGTGAATTGAGTGAAAGGGATGGAATAAAGAAGCAAGCAGGCGAATTTGGTAATTGAGAGAATATAGAAAGTGAGGAGGGACTGTAAAATGGTGTTGAGGTTTGAGAGTTAGATAACTTGTTATTGAGGAGAGTTGACAGAGGTCACTGACATTCGAATTAGTTACTTCAGGAGAATAAAGGAACTACAGGGTGTTGAAGAGTGTTGATAAAGT